TTATTTGGGTAATCTAATCAATTTACATTCAAGGTTGTTATGATAGGTGAGGACTTACTTCTGTTATTTTGTTAATTGTCTTCTGGTTGTTTTGTCTATCTTTTGTTCCTTTCTTTCTCTCTTATTGCTTATCTTTGTGGTTTTGTGGTTTTATGTAGTGATAAAGTTTAATTCCTTTCTATTTTTCATTTGCGTATCTGCTTTACTACTGTATTTTATACTTTGATGTGTTTTCATGATGGTGGTTGTCATTCTTTTGGTTACAAATGTAGGACTCCTTTAAGCATTTCTTGTAAGGCCAGTCTGGTAGTGACTAATTCCCTCATTTTTGCTTCTCTAGGAAAGACTTTATTTTTCTTTCATTTCTGAAGGGATAGTTTTATTGGGTATAATATTCTTGGATGACAGTTTTCTTCTTTCAGTTCTTTGAATATATCATCCCATTCTCTGCCGGCCTATAAGGTTTTTGAAGAGATATCTGCTGTTAGTCTAATGTGACTAATTATATGTGACTTAATTTCTTTTGCTGTTTTTAAAAGTCTTTCCTTGACTTTTGACAGTTTGACTACATTATGCTTTGGAGAGGACCTTTTTGGGTTGAAACTATTTGGGAATCATTGAGCTTCCTGGATCTGGATGTCTATATCTCTCTTAAGACTTGGGAAGTTTTCAGCTATTACTTTATTAAATAGTTTTTCTTTGCCTCTTCCCAACTATTTACCTTCTCAAAAGCCCACAATGCAGATATTTGTTCACATAATGGTGTCCTATAAGTCCCACAGGTTTTCTTCATTCTTTTAAATCTTTTGTGTTGTTTTTTTGTCTCACTGGATTATTTCAAAAGATTGTCTCCAAGTTCAGAAATTCCTTCTTCTGCTTGATCTAGTCTGTTGTTGAAGCTCTCAATTGTGTTTTTTTATTTCATTCACTGAATTGTTCAGCTCTCAGATATGTTTGGTTCTTTTTTATATCTACCCTTGTTGAGTTTCTCATTCAGATCAGGAATTGTTTTCCTGATTTCATTGAATTCTCTGTCTTCTCTTATATCTTGCTTGTATCTTGTATATTTTAAATTCCTTTTCAGACATTTCATAGATTTCCTTTGCTTTGGGATCTGTTCCTGGAGAATTATTGTATTCCTTTGGAAGTGTTATGTTTTCTTGTTCTTCCATGTTTCTTGTGTACCTATGTTGATATCTGTACATCTGGTGGAACAGTCACTTCTTCTAATTTTATGGAGTAGCTTTCATAGGGAAAGACTATTTCCTGTAGATGTGTCCTATAGTGTTGGTTTGGCTTTGGTTCTAGGTGGGTGCAGTAGTGTAGTCGCCATGTAATTTCTTTGGCTGTAATTAACATCAGTGGTGCCTGCAAGTGCTGCAATAGCCCAAACTGTGGGTGTCTATGGAGGCAGTGGCATAGCTTTTCTGTGGATGGGGACCGCCAGGCAGGCCAGTCCTTGGTCCCTGAGGGGTGAGCATGGCTCACAGTGGCTCCATATACAGGTGATTTTTACACATACTCAAGTTTAAGATACACTGCTCTAGTGCTCTGAGGAGCTCAGCTGGCAAGGTAACAGTTTGGCCCCTGGGAGCTGCCCTCTACCCGCCCCTGTAGCTATGACTTACCTTTGTTATAGAGGGTTCCATCAAAATAGTAGCTCCCTGTATAGAAGCCAGTAGCATGCTCAATGAGGTGCCGTGCCCATGTGTTTCCGGCTCCTGGGAAGCTTGACAAAGCCACAAACACTTTCGATTTGTTGGGCAGGAACCTTCTGTCTGTGCACCGAGTGTCTGAAAGTCCAGAAGTATCACAGGGTTACTCAACTCCATTTTGACTCACAGATTCACCACTAGACTCCCCTAGACAGGGACTGATGATCCAAGACTCCCATTTAATAGGTGAGGAAACCAAGGCCCAAAGAAGGAAAGAGATTTTCCACCTGTACCTTAGCTGCAAGCCCCATGACACACTAGTGCAAAAGTGGGTGGGAATCAGGCACCCTATGGGTCCTTGACCCTCGCTCTATCTCCATAGCCACAGCCAAATCCTTGCTCCCAGCATAGCATAGGTAACTCCAGATTCTGCTAGGGAAGGTATATAGGGGTTGTGGCTAGACTGAGCAATGCCCGCACCCAGGTACAGCTGACAACAAATCAGGGCTGGACGAATTTTAGGCAAGCAACTCTGTCTCTCATCCTCAGGGCTGCTGTAAGGAGCACATGAAATCACCAGGGGAAAGCCCCCAAACCTCCACGGCTGTGCTGGGTCACAGTAGGCATTTGATAAAGGTGGTAACATGCCTCTTCACTTGCACGTCCTCTCATCAGTTCCTAAGGTCAGACCTCATACACCACGGAGGATGCCCAGGTCCTGGAGGCACCAGAGGTACCTGCGGCCCCTGGGATCCCATTTTTCCCATGCCTCCCAACCCCACCACCTTGCTGTTGCTTCCCCTCTGGTCCCTGCCTCTTTTTGCTCTTTCTCTCTTCCTCTCAGCACTGTTGTTCCCAGAGAGACTCAGATACAGAGTCTGATGTTTTTCAAAGTGAGTCCAGGATTTAGCCTCCAGGGAAGGTGGAGGCCTCACCCTTCCCTTTATCTCCACCACCCACTAAGATGCTGGGGTCCCCAGGACCGCACACTGAGCCATGACTGGCATCTCCAAACCCTGGAAGCTCTGTGCAACTCCCAGACCAAATACCAAATGCCACAACCAGTGGTGGGTACAGAGCTCACCTTGCACAGGCGTCTGGTAGACCTCGCAGTAATCTGCCAGCCTCTGGGCCTCAGGGTCTTGGCCACACAACGAGCTGTCCATGGCATCCCGCAGGCTGAACTGGGGGGTAGGGTAAGCACAGTAGCATTTCCAGCCCCTGAGGACAGCCAAGGGGAATTCCTGCCAGGGAAGAGAAAGAGAGGAAGAGAAGCACATCGAGTGAATGTGAGAACTGCGCCTCCCACAGCTCAGGAACTGGGATGAACATGTGGGATGTACTGCCATCCCACATGGATGGGGTCCACAGAGGTGGCCATCATCCTTCTACCACCAGGCTGTGTGCTCAAACCCAGGGGACACAAAGCTCAAAAGGACGTGACTTCTCCCTGGGATTTTGAGACGCCGTGGCATTTGTCAGGAGTGCCGGGGAGGGAAAGGTCACTCTGGGCAGGGTATCCACATGAGTGAACATCTGTGTTGGACAGAGCGGGACAAACAAATCAGCTGGCACAGGGCAGCTCCGGGGCTCAACATGTCACACTGTTAACCAACAGACCTTGAGCCCTGAGAGAGGACTGGAATTCCCTCTGGCCCTTGCTGGCCAGCCGCCTCCCTGGAAAGACACCAAAGCCAACTCTTGTGCCTGACGCCCCACGATAGGGTGGGGACAGATTCCCATACAGTCATCTTTCCAATGATGGAATGGCTTGGGAAGAGGAGACCTTTTCCCATTCAAGGTGCTTAGCCCAGTGGGGGCTTCCTAAAAACGGAAGGGCCCTGCCAGGTTAGGAGAGGGGAGGTGCCTCGCTCTGTGGGCCGAGTCAGCTCCCAGTGAGTTCTTACTCTCCTTGGGGCAGGCTGCACCATGCAACGGGGAGAGCTGGGGTGCTGGCATCCTGAAGACCCGAATGTGAATTCCAGCTCACTTATTGGGCACCCTTGAGCAAGGTGCTTAACCTCTCCAAATTTCAGCATTGAAAACGGTAATAAAATCCACTTTGTATGTTTATGACAAGAGTTAGATGAGACAGGTCCAAACTGCCCACCACTGGGCCTGGCACACAGTAGGTTCTTCCACAGAGGTATGTATGGGCCATCCTCAGCCTCCCTAACCCGTAGGGCATTGGCCAGGGCTTGCTCAAAAATGCATCCGCCCACCTCTCCCACATATATTTTCTGAGCACCTACTCTGTCCTGGGCACGAGGGGGGACACTTAGCCCCATGTCATCTCGGCCCTCCCTGCATCCCACAGCCAGGAGATGCAGGACTCTTGCAGCGGAGAGAGAAGAGAGCTGTCTGCGAGTGTGTGCACCGGGGAGCGAGGTAGTGGGTGGAGAAAACTTCTCACTGCTAAGGAAAGCGCTGCACAAACCTTTTTATTTTTTGCCCACAGCAAAAATCTCATAAATAAATAAGTAAAAGAAAATCAATACCATTTTCTGAGCATGGCTAGGTCAAGCTGAAGATCTCGGCACTCATAAAAGACAATAGACGGTGTCCAGGCCCAGGGAGGGCAACGCAGGCCGGGGGGCTGGAGGAGATGCGGCCGGATGTTGTCCCCAGCCCAGACCCTCTCCTAGGTGCCTGGCAGCGCCCAGAGAAGACTCTCCCCACCCTCGTCCTTCTTCAAGCTGAGAAGCCGCTGCGAGAGAGTGGGCAGCAGGCTGACGAGCCCCACCAGCACCTCCCGCTAGACTCCATCGGGCCACTTCTGTACGGAAAGCGAGATCTGTCGCCTGATCCTGGAGCAGAACAAGGATGGCTTTTCTGGAAGCAAGTTTCCTGCTGACGTAAGTTTGGGAAAAGCGATCCCAAGAACCACCATCTCTGGCCTCTGAGCTCCATCCATCCTGTCTCACAGAGCGCTCACCCCGCCTCATCCCACGTTAACACCTTCATCGCGGGGAGCCGCAGAGGCCAGCAGCCTGGCACCTGCGGCCCAGCAGGGGGGCACGCAGTGGTCTGTGTCTGCAGCACGCCTGTCCTCGATGGCTGCTGTGGGCTGAACTTGTCCCCACAAACCCATAGGCTGACGTCCCCACCCCCACCACCTCAGAATGTGACCTTATTTGGAAGTAGGGTCTTTACAGGGATGATTAAGTTAAAATGAGACTGCTAGGGTGGGCCCTCATCCAACATGATGGGGTCCTTATAAGAAGAGGAGGTTAGGACACAGGCAACACGCAGACCACAGACGACCACGTGTGGACGCAGTAAGAAGGCTGCCATCTGCAGGCCAACAAAAGAGGCCTCGGGAGAAAATAAACCTGCCGACGGCTTGATCTCGGACTTCCAGCCTCCAGAACTGTGGAGCTGTTGTTTAAGCACCTCAGTACTCTGTCATGGCAGCCAGACTGACACAATGCCTTCATTTCTTGCAGTTCCTTGGCCCCCCTAGTCACGCTCCCGCCTCAGGGCCTTTGCATGTGCTGTTCCCTCTTCCTTCAATGTCCTTCCCCCAGATACCCTCATGGCTCTCCCCCACTTTCTTCAAGTCACCGTCTCCATGAGGCCTTCCCTGGCCACCCCCTTTTCAAGCTTCAACACCCCTCTCACCGTCACCACACACCCTACTCCCTTGCCGTGCCTTTCAATTTTATTAATAACTTACCTGAATGAAAAGCCCTGACCCCAAGTGTGCCGGTCAATGGGTGTGGACAAGTGCGTATGCAGACAAGCAGCACGTCCATGACCCCGCGCCTGCTCACAGCCACCCCGTCTCCCCCAAAGCAGCCACGCTTCTGATTTCCACCACCATGGGTCAGCTTTGTCTATTCTATAATAGAATACCACATAAATAGAATCACTTAGTACACCCTTTTGTGCGCCTGGTTTCTTCCATTCAGAAAAGTATCTGTTAAAGCCATCCATGTTGTTCTACGTGTCCGCAGATGCTCCTTTTCATTGCTGTGTAGCATTCCATGGGCGCAATGCCGTTTGCCGAGTCATTCCCTTGCAGAGGGACATCTGGGCTGTTCCCGCATTTTAGGTGTTGTGAATAAAGCTGCTCCGGACATTCTCGTACAAGCGTTTAGTCAATACATGTTTTCATTTCTCATAGGTAAACACCTACAGTTTCTGCCTCATTTTTCTCCACGGACTGATTACCACACAACATACTATCTATTTTACTGATTTATTTCATTTACCTCCTGCCTCTGTCCAGGAGAATGCCAGCAGGATTGCTGTGTGTTCCGTGTGATTTGCTGTATCCGCTGTACCTGGAACAGTGTCTCGGACGTGGTGGATGCGCAATAAATGTGTGATAAATGAACAAATGAACATCCTTTCCAAATCCCGACCCCACCAAAAGCTGCTTAAAACCAAGGTGGGTCTGATCTTTCTGCACGGCGGCTGTGAGAGAGGAGAAGAAAGCCCACTACATCTAAGCAAATCCTCCGCACACCAGGGACCCCAGGGGGGCTCTGCTGTCCTGGGATTCCTGTTCCGAGGGAGCGAGTCCCACCAGCATGTAAACCCGCTTGGGGCACGCTGGCTCCCCCTCCCTGCCCGGCGGTCACGGCGCTGCTGACGCTGATGCTCACAATCTTATATCCCAGGGCTGCGGAATGGGCTGCCCCCACCAGTGACCCGAACCTCTTTGCTTCCTTGAGTGGATTAAACTGTCAAGTTTCCGGGTGTTTGCAGAGCGACGGGAGAGCTGCAGACAGTAATGTGGTTTTATTTACAACATAACCGCTTCAGCAACATCACTGGATTCTGAAAACACAGAACAATTTTCAGCCCCTTGGGGATTTCTAGGACATGATTTCCATAAAAATTAAATATTGATGAATCTTTTCTCTCTGCCAACTTCCCTGCTTCCCCCAACCCTACTCTAAGCTTCAGAGAGACAGAGAGAGACAGAGAGAGGACAGAAAGAAGGGGAGAAAAGGATCGGAGAAAGCAAGGCAGAAGAAGTGAGGACAGAGATTTGGGATTGTTTCAATCAAACAGATGAGGGGTTAAAGAGGCAGCCACTCAGCTGTGTCTGAGGACAGATGGGGGGATCCACATCCTATCCCGATACTGCGTCTACAGCCTGAGCCTGGGCTCGGCCTGGGCCTGCAGTGTGCGTGGGCATTCAGCCTGGAGCCAGGTCGTGACACGGCTAGGGCGTGGCTCTGTGGGTGGCAGGGATCCACATGCAAAGGCCTGGTCTGTGGCCAAGGGGACAAGGCGTGGACATTCCCCCAGGCAAGGAGCAAGGGCTCCAGGCAGGACCCCTGTCAAAAACCGGCCCGTCTGGGCCTCATCTCCTCCATCTTCATTCATCCTCGAGCACCTGTCTCAGGGTCTCCAGGATTACACAGAATCGTAGAGAGGGGGAAACTGAGGCTTGGAGGCAGGCGCTGAACAGCCCAAGATGTCCACCCATCAGGTGAGCAGGAACAGACGCCAGCCTTCCGGGCTCCGAGTCCAGGGCTCCGCTACACACCACGGTAGTCCAGCTCCTCGGAGGCAGACACACGGGTCGATGGATTTCCGATGAAATCTGAGACCCGGTGCGGAAGTGGGCTCTGCCAGTCTCTTGCCTCCGGGGCAGTTCCCTTCACTCCAGAGGCAGATGTGGACATTCAAGATACAAAAAGGAAAGAAGATGCCCACAAAGGTGGCTTCAGGGCTAGAGGATGATGTGGTTGGGATGTTTGGTCCCTTCCAAACCTCATGCTGAAACTTGAGCCCCAGTGTTGGAGGAGGTGCCTGGTGGTAGGTGTTCGGGTCCTGGGGGAAGATCCCTCAGGAATGGCTTGGTGCCCTCCCATGGTAATGAGAGAGTTTCTGCTTTATTAGTTCAGGGGAGAGCTGGTTGTTTCAAAGAGCCCAGCCCCTCCTCCCTCTATCGCCATGTGACACGCCTGCTCCCCCCTTCGCCTTCTGCCTTGATTGGAAGCTCCCTGAAGCCCTCCCCAGAAGCAGATGCTGATGCCACGCTTCCTGTACAGCCTGCAAAACCGTAAGCCACATAAACCTCCTTTCTTTATAAATTACCCAGCCTCGGGTATTTCCTTTATAGCAACGCAAATGGACTAACTCAGAGGGCAAAGGGGCGGACTTTTGCTTTCAGGCAAATGTCAGGTTGACTGAAAACTCGTCCAGTGGCGTGGTAACTGAGAACGGGGGCTGTGTGACTTGAGAGGCAGCTCCTGGGAGGGGGAAGCGGCCCCAGGCTCGTCGT